ATATTATTAAACTTGCTCTTACTTTTACAACACCACCGATTTAAGTCTGTGCAAATTTTATCAATAAGAAAATGGAGTAGAGGCTAAACTTATACTCCCTCCGTCCCATAAAAATCAATCTAGTACTGGATATGACATATCCTAGTACTACAAATTTAGACATAGCTTTTTTCGATTCATTATATTAAAATGTATCACATCATATCTTAGATTCGTTTTTTTCTGATGGAGGGAGTTTATAACAGACGTACTAACCATCATTTGTTTAGAAGCCTTAGAGAACGGGAGCAGTCGTCGGTACTCCCTTCAACCCATAAAAAAAAGAATCTAGGATCGGATATGATACATCCTACTACTACGAATCGATTTTGCTATATATTTGTCGACAAATTTTTCCCCAAAAATTTGATAGATGTAATTACAGTACAATTGTAGTATAATTACACTGTAACTTGTATGTAATTACACTGTAACTTGTATGTAATTACACTGTAATTATAGTGTAACTTGTATGTAACTTTCAAAAATCTCTCCGTAACATGTTATTTCGGTAAAATGGAGGTCGTGGGAACAAATTCTTTCATATATGTGTGTGCTATGATTTGTTTTCTTCCTCACCAAAACAAATCGTGTAATAGATCTAATGATTCAAAATTATGTGACACTTACATATAAGTTACACTGTAGTTACATATAAGTTATAGTGTAATTACATATAAATTACAGTGTAATTACACTACGATTGTATTATAATTACATCTGTCAAATTTTTAGAGAAAAATTTGCCGACAAATGTATAGGTAGTCCCATTCTAGGATTGGAAGTAGTATAGGATAGTTGTTAGGTACTCCTATGTTCTAATCAATGCTAAACTCGACGGTGCGCGTCCTTTGGAACCATTGGTTTATGAGATGCTAAGATTCATTGCTAGCTGTCGGATTGTATCTGGTTCTTCCTCTATAATGCCGAGGGATTTAAGCCAGAGTGGATAGATTTAATTTCTATAGCAAAAGCTATAGCAAATTAATGTTGAAATATTGTTGTGCGCACTATATATATGTATTTTTAGATAAGGGCGCACTATATATACTGCCAAAAAAAACTAGTAACTTAGTTTAATTAAACATACGTTGTTGTAGTAGTTGATCTAGATCATCCAGGGATCTAAAGGTGATCGAATGATAGTAATTTCTAGTCCTATTGGCTGCCTAATATAATGGAGATGGGTAGAGAATGTGGGTGCTTTTGGAACTTCGGAGGAGAAAGGAAGATTATCTCTCCAAGAGCACGCGCATATATATTACTCCAATTTGTTACGTACTCTCCTTTTAGGTGATTTTAGTTGATGCTCGGTGCTAGTACTCCGTACTGGTTGGCATGCTTATAATTGGGGCAAGTTCATGGCACCTGCAATGCAACCTATGCGCAACGAAAATTGCATCCTGCCAAACCAAGCTGTGAAGAACCAACTACCGTGCTTCATCAATATTCTGCTAATTAACTAGCGGAAAAAAATACGTATAAACCGAAAAATAATTGGGAACACCACAGAACTCCAGCTGGAAATTAAACACGATTAGAGGGAAATATAAACTACTCCCTCCGTTTCGAAATATTTGACGCCGTTGACTTTTTAGCACATGTTTGACCGTTCGTCTTATTTAAAAAATTTAAGTAATTGTTAATTCTTTTTCTATCATTTGATTCATTGTTAAATATATTTTTATGTAGGCATATAATTTTACATATTTCACAAAAGTTTTTGAATAAGACGAACGGTCAAACATATGCTAAAAAGTCAACGGTGTCAAACATTTCGAAATGGAGGGAGTATTAAAACCGTGTTTTTTTCTCTCTTTTATTATTCACCAACATTGTTCCTTTGTTGGTTTCTCTTGGTGGCAAGTGATCCGATTGATGTATTTGTGCTACACATCACCAATTTCTTTTGGATTTTTTGACTATCTATTTGTGCGTTATTTTACAAGTCCTGATTGAAGGACATTTTCTTCCTTATAAAGCTTGTGCGGATGCAACGAAAATAATTTAGGATAAAAAATTACACTTTTGTGCTCTAAAAGCAAGACTGGGTGATGAGAACATAGAAAAAACATTAAATTAATTTAAAGTAAAGTTGTAAAATTCAAAATAAGTCACAACTCATCTAGTTCAACCCGGCAGCTTTTAGAATAGGATGGTTTTCATAGTGTTGATAGATGATGGATGAAACTAAGTCTATGGCAATTATTCGATGTAAACAAATAAATTGAATATTAAAAAGTTAAAAGTTAATTTAAAAATATTTTCTAAGAAATGCTGGGTGAAACATTTTTTTTTAAAAAAAATATATCGTTAAAAGTTCATTATGTTTTTCTATGGTGCGTTCTTCTTAGCTAATGAATTATGGATTATCGCAATTACACTTTCTAAAGTTGACTTGAATGTGCGAAAGGGCCTGTAACCTAGTGGTTACAAGAGTCTCAGTAGTACCTTAGGGACGTACCACTCGACAGCGGGGCGCATGTGGTGACTTCGTCAATCTTAAGGATTTGTCGGTCCAGTTTTTGAAGATGCTCATAGGGGTAAGGTTTGCGTGCATGCGTTCTACTGCGTAATTTAAAAAAAAAGACTTTAATGTCTTCATGGAAGAAAAACAAATGAAAATCAATTGCTTAACGTAGAATGGGAATAAACTCGATGGCGTGAAACGGGAGAAGCACGAAACTCCCCCCACACGGCGGTTCAGATGGAGTAAACGAAGGATGAACCAGTGCAAATAAGATGCCAAAGCGATTTAGATAGTGATTTTGGATGACGTGGCGTCTACGTGACACTTAAAATTAGAAAAAATCATAAGCCTCACATGTAAGCGACAGTTTAGTTAAAAATAAAAAAATTACAAGTGGGACCCATATCTTCTCCTCCTCCTTCTCACCCAACCTCCCCATCTCCTACTCATCCCCCCGATACAGCGACCTGGCGTGAGATCTTTGCTGTGGCGGGGATAGCTCCCCAAACCTCTCCGCTATCGTGTCGGCTCGCCTAAGGGCGAGGGGCCTATTCCCATGGCGATGGTGGGGACGAAGGAATCCGGCGCCTTCGGTGGGATCTGGACGGCTGATGGCTACCGGCGGCGTCGACCTCAACGCTCGCGGCTCTGCGGTCACCCGTCGACGCGTGGTGGCAGAAGAGCGGCACTGCGAAGAGAAGGGTGGCACGTGGCGGCCTGCGGCCCTCGCCCCTTTGATAGGCCGGCCTCGTAGGACAGGAGGAAGTCCATACACACCAAGTCTGTAGTAGGAGGAGGTGGTGGCAGTGGTCCGTAATGCCACGAGTCGGAGGAGGGGGACAGGGCGTACCTGGGCACTCAACACCAAGCACACACCCCTCCCCGGAGATGACAGCTCCGACAAGCCCAAGGACGCTGCCCCCCGGAGAAGATGGAGGCAGCAGTGCCGATGATGTTGCTGCTGCTATCGGGCACGTCGGGGTGGCTTGGCTCGGCCTCCGACCCTACGGGCTCCTTCCATGTTGGTGGTTTCCAGCCGAGTTCGCCTATAGAAGGATCATCGGATTGGCTCTTGCTTGACGTCGATCTTCGGGAACCTGCATGAGCTGATTCTGTCGCACATCGCACTGGAGGTGCTCAAGAGGAAGTATGGTCCCGAGGTCGACATCTGGAGCATCGGCGTGCCCGCTATTCTGGGCCGAGTCAGAGAACACCATCTTCACTGCCATCCTTCGCAAGCTGCGGCCATTTGCTGGAGATGGAGAGAAGGGTGGGATCCATTGCCATATGGGTTCCACTATATTTTTAATCTTTTGTCTGAATGACATGTGGCTCCCATATTTTTGTTTAAACTTTTAATTTTTATATTTTACTTTCAGTGCCACGTCAGCGCCACGTAAGATGAGGACCAAGTCAAACCAACCACATAAGCATCACGTCAGTCGGAACCACCATCCAAACCACCTTAGGACCTTATTTGCACCGGTTTTGATACTTGAGGAATCCGTCGTATCTGGTATTTCGGTTCAAGGACGAAAACCGAACTTGTTGCTAAGTTAAGGGGACCTAAAATGAACTTATTCGTCTACCTTTCTCTCCCTGGCCCAACCACAAAGAGGATCGTCCTCGTTCGTCCGGACTGGCATGTGGCCAAGCCCAAATTCGCAAATAACACACACGCGTCATCATCGATTTTTTTTATTTTTTATTTATTTTTAAAAAATTTAAAAAATAAATTACGGTTTCAAAGTTTTACAAAATATACTCCTCCCGTCCTATCTTAAGACGGAACATATAAATCGGACTACAGTAGGACAATCTAGACATCTATCTAATGTGACACCTCACGGGTGAAGCTTATTGTGATTGCAAGTACCCCCTCCCGACGATAAATCATCCTCCTTTAGGGCGATTTATAGCCATAAGGGGACCGCCTGCGAAATTGGCACGTCGCAAAGTTTGCTGATGCATGGGAGCACCCATGGCAATTTTGTAGGCTGCTATATCCTGACAATAAATTGTCTGTCCGTAAAATTGTCACGGTGCATCTCCCGCAGGGTGTTATGTCATATAGATTATCTTAGCGTAGGGCGATTTATATGCTTGGCCCTATGGTTGGACGAGATGAGTATATTAAAACTTTGAAATTAGAATTTATTTTGTAAATCTTTGAGAAAAATAAATATAAAATAAAAAATGGTGCATCTAGAAAACTGTCGCAAGTTTGTATAATTGGAGTGCAACCACATTGTAATTGCATTGTAACTACAGGTAACTACGCTGTAACCACAATATAGTTTATTAAAACTTGCATTTAACAATACTTTAATTAAATAGCACTGGGATTTTATGCGTAATACATGTGGAAAATTTTCCTCTTTCAAATCTTGAGGCGATCCGATGCTCACAGATATAAAAGTTTTGGAAAAAAAAAAACTTGCGACAGTTTCTAGCAAATCCGTAAAAAAAAAAAGAAAAAACGGTCGTCATCATCTCCACGCGCGCGGCGAGACGGCCGAGACCTCACCTACCCCAGTCGCTCCTGCCGCCGCGCCAGCGCGAGCACTCTCCAATCCGAATCGAATCCGATAAGCCAAGCAAGCGCAGACGCCGACGCAGGAGCTCCCCCACCGCCATGGCTTGCAGGCCGGCCGTGTGCTCCCCCTCCGCCCTCGCGCCGCCGCGCCACCGCCTCCTCTCCCTCGGCTGCGCGCGCACCGCCGCCCCCTCGGGCGGACTCCCGCTCCGCCTCCGCCTCCGCTCCAGCCCCGCGCCCCGCGGCCACGGCGCCGACCTCGTCGTCCGCGCGGCGGCCGCAGAGGCAAGCCCTCTCTTCCCCCACCACCACCCGCGGCTCACCGACCCTTGGCCTGGCCGGCGTGCTGAGCTTCATCAGTAATCGAATTTTGTCTGTCTGTCTGCTGCAGGGGGCCGTGGAGCTGCAGGCGAAGGTGAACAGCAAATGCTTCTTCGACGTCGAGGTCGGCGGGGAGCCCGCGGGGAGGATCGTCATCGGGCTCTTCGGGGAAGTCGTCCCCAAGACGGTGGACAACTTCCGCGCCCTGTGCACTGGTCGGCTCGGCCCCCCCTCGTTGATAATCTGATCTCCATTTCGCCATCAAAATTGCCAGATTGGTAGTAACGCTTATTTTCTGTTTTACTTGATTTTGCAGGTGATAAGGGCTACGGGTACAAGGGTTGCTCCTTCCACCGAATCATCAAGGACTTCATGATTCAGGGCGGGGACTTCCAGAACAACAATGTGAGAGTTGCACATCCAAATGCAGATGCTGTAATGGCTATTGTACTAGTTTCTGCTGCTGAATTGAGGACTTATCTGTCCCATTTCATTCAACCACTGCACTGTGTGTGCAAATTAATTTGGGGGGTGAACAATATGACTGGTCCTGAATTGAGCTAGTTATCTTCATTTAGCATTGCTGCATGCCTGCATTGGTCCATCCCCTTGCACTACTGCATTACTGCTGCACGGTATGTGCAAATTAATTTGAGAGTAGGATGCAGTGTGCACAAAAATGTTCAGATTCAGATTGGAGAAAGGGGTAGGAAAGGATACCATAAATGACGAGCAAAGTGTACTCAACTTTGGAGTTAAGATGGGCGCATAGGCAGATAGCTGTTAGATATAGGTGTAGATTTATATGTATATTTGTATATATTGGAAAAAGGACCTAATAGCCCCATAGCTCATTTACCTACTGCTGATATATTCTTTCTTATGTTGCCAATCTTATTTACAGTGTTTATGAACATTTCTTCTTTCTCTGTTTTGCATGCTAAAGGGTCGCCCTTTTTTTTTATTGCTGATGTACTAAGCTTTTGTAACACAGGGTACTGGTGGTAGGAGTATCTATGGTGAATGTTTTGACGATGAAAATTTTACATGTAAGTAATTCAATCCTAGCTTGCTGTGATGAGCTTGGGGTGTTCTTTCCCCCTAGCAGTTGACTGCAACTGCTTTAGGCAGTCACAACAACCCTGTTGTTATGTACTCGAACCTTTCTCCCATATCTTAATAAAATCAGGCGGCATCCTTCCACCAGCCCAGCGAAAAAAAATACAAACTTTCAAATTTAGTACCATGCGTTATTGTAACTATCCAGAACATACCAATCAATTGAAGCAACGATAACTACAAAGGTGCTAATCTTTAGGTAAATTTCCTCATTTTGTCACTGGTTTTTGCAATCATGATGACATGAGAAAAATACTTTGGTTAATTTCCAGCATGCATGATCCTCAAGCATATTGTTTACACGAAGTCATGGATAGTAAAAGGTGCTCCGTGGAACAAAATAATGGCACATATGATTCTAAACTCTGAAGTGTCATAATTTGTCAAGTATAGGTTCCAGTCTAGTAGTTCCTACAATGAAGCCCTTCTTTATCTTATACATATCATAATCCATCTTTTGTATCCTTTTTCAGTAAAGCACACCGGTCCTGGTGTACTAAGCATGGCAAACGCTGGCCCTGACACAAATGGAAGCCAATTTTTCATTTGTACTGTGAAGGTAAGAAACTCCTGATAGTATAAAGCAACTTTTTTTCATTCACGATTTTACTACTGGACAGGGCAATAGGGCATCCTAAATTTGTAACACTGACAAATTATAGTCTCGTTCTCATGCACATCTAAAATGGCAGTAATTCTAAGTTTATTTTGCCTTACAATATGAACGAATATTTATGGGCTAGTTCATGCTGGTAGTGTTGAGATCATAGGATTGATAAAAGGATCACTGTAAGATCTGGACCATTAATGGTTTGGCAAGAGCGTATGATCGTAAAATACTACAGTATGAGTCATGATATGGACAACTTTAGTTCAGTCACTTCAAAGAACTAAATCAGGTGTTGAACCGGTATAAGTCCTTAAAGCAATGATAGATTCCTAGCCCTAGACTAAAACTCAAATCCTTGGTGGCAAAAGGTCTAACACTAATGAATGGCTGCTGGTACTTGACTCCATCTCTCTTAAAATGTTATTTGTCTTACTAATCTAAACAGCCTTGAGTATTCCAATTTTGAGGAAGAGAAAAATGTGCAAAAATTTTCGACATTAGTTCTGTTTAGACTTTGTTAGATTTCTTTACAGTTGATGGGTCTAACCAAACTCTCAATAATAAAATCTTTCTCAGACACCATGGTTGGACAATCGTCACGTTGTCTTTGGGCATGTCTTGGAGGGGATGGACGTGGTGAAGAATCTTGAATCACAAGAAACCAGCAGGTCCGATATTCCTAAGCAGCCCTGCAGAATCGTGAATTGTGGCGAGCTGCCCGTGGACGGTTGATTAAGTCAAATGGTTCAGTTGTCGGATTAAGCCAACATTTTTCATTTTGTTCTGCGGCATATTGAATCTTAGGGGAGGGCTAATTGAATCTTGTTCTGTTAGAACACTTTTGGTATAGTGAGGATACTTGCGAGGCATTCGGCAAGATAGATGAACATCCCTCTTATCCAGTGATATCCTGTTTGATGAGCTTAGAACTTTAAGTTACTCTTATCCAGTGGAACTCGAATTACTGGTCTTTTCTTATGTTGCATCAGTAAAGACCGTTTGCTGGCAACAATTTTCATCAACGGTGGGAACTTGATCATTGTAATGCGTCATGCTGTTACGCGGCCCTAGAGCCTGAACTTATCCTGTTTAAACATTGATAACTGTACTAAAACATATGATAGAACGGCTAATTATATTAGGATTTAATCTAGCCGCTTAAAATTTCTTAATGACGTGGCATAACTAAATCTCAGCTGTTGGTGATAAATATATACTAGGATTTATAGATAGGATTTCGGTTCAGGGATGAAATTTCACCTGACGACAAACTAAGGGACCTAAAGGAAACTTATTCCAAATTGAGAGCTCTCTCTGGAAAGTGGTAGCTTCCATGGGCCGCAGTTGCCAGAGCCTATAGGTCGAAATTAACAGCGTACATGAGCTGAAATTTCCAACGCACTTGGCCCGACATTGGCAGCGCATATGGGCTAAAATTGCCTGCGCATATGAGCCAAATTTAAGAGAGCGCATAGCCCAAATTTAGAGCATGCATGGGATTAGGATCGGATGATGAAACGCAAAATCTATTTCGAGAGGCATCTCGATTTATACTTAACGAGCGACACGGACAATTACATGAGAAGTACTAGTAGTGTTACAGACATGCATCCAAGTAGTTTTTGCTATTAGGTTGTGCATTTTTTTTTCTTCTTATGAAGTTTTCTCTTGAATTACTTATCCGATCTATAATCCTATTACACCGTTGTGTTCGTAACATTTAAATCTTTACAACAAGATCTCACATGATTATATTTTGATGAAAAATCACAAATTACTTTTATGATATGTCTAAATTACTTTTAGATTTCACTAAGTTACTTCTTAGACATACAAAAGTAAATTCAGTAAAGCCTAAAAGTAATTTACATATATTATATATTATAGAAGTAACTTAGAACAAAATGAATGTAACTTTGACATGTCATTTGAAGTAAATCCGTTGTAGAGATAAAAACATGACTCTATCTAGAAATTAAATTAATCAGCACAAATTATGGAATTAACTAAAAACAATAATAAAAGTAATCACCTCCGAGCATTATGAATGTATAGGAAGTATTTTAATCAAATCTTAAAAAGTAACTTATATATATATATGATAATTTGTTCAATGAAAAAAGGTATTAATTAAAGTTACTTTCTTTTGTTATAAGTTACTTACTTTTAAACTTTACTGAATTTACTTTTGTATGCCTAAGAAGTAACTTAGTGAAATCTAAAAGTAATTTAGACATATCATAAAAGTAATTTGTGATTTTTCATCAAAATATAATCATGTGAGATATTGATGTAAAGATTTAATTGTTACGAATACAACGGTGTAATCGGATGGTAGATTGAATGAGTAGTTTAAGAGAAAATTGTATTTGAAGTATAGGTGGATGGTGTCTCTTATAGATGGAGTGGTAGTTACCACTAACTGTATAGTCACATCCATGAAGAAAGTTCAGACCGAACACTCCGTACATCCTCTATTAGGGATGGCAACGGGGTGGGTCGGGGCGGGTTGGGTAAGAACGCCCCCGCCCCCCGCTCCCGATCATAGAAGTGGGTCAAAATTGCTCCCCGCCCCTGTCCCCGCCGGGTCCCCGAAAACCGATCAGGGCCCTGCAGATGGAGGGAGCAAACAGTCAAGCATACACATAAGGAAACGAAGAAGAGACGATGTACCTGGGAGGAGGCAAGGAGCGTTGCCGGCGGTGACACCGCATCGAGATAGAGGGAGAGAAGGTCGATGCTGGCCACTAGATGCCGCCGTCCTTTGGACGCTACCATCCACCGTTCTTTGGATACCGCCAGCCACTACCGCGTCAGCAACTCAGGATGGAGAGAGGGGATGTTAGGCTACCGCTGCTTCAGGATGGAGGGAGATGATATTGAGGTGGTTGCTATGTTGAAGAAGCGCCGACTACTGCTGCGTCGTCATGGTGAGGCGCGTTGGAGTGGAGGCGAGAGTTACGGGGATGCGATTACGGGAAGGAGTGCGGCGTGAGGGAGGTCCAGAGGGATTGGGAACGGCATGAGGGAGTCAAAGTTTTTTATGGATTGGTGGGCTTTGATGGGCCATCTCCACATTAATTTCTTAGGAATCCGGGGCCCCACGGGTCACCCGCGGGTGAAACACAAAACCCGTCCCCGCCCCTGGAAATGAGCGGGGCCCTGTCCCCAGAAACCCGCGGGTGAGAAATTCGCCCCGCCCCCGGCCCCATAGGGGCGGGTCCCTCTATTAGTAACCTGTAAGACATCACGAATCCTCCGGATCAGGTGCCTGATGGGGGAGAAAAAATCGGGTGCCCTGCGCCGCGCCACGCCTCCGCACCCCCACCATGCGCGCCCGTTGCAACGGCCGCCCGGATATAACGGAAACGTCCTATTAAGGGGATCCGTTTCATTTTTTGTTTCACCAACAATGTTTCTGCTAGTGTACTCGTGATGTTTCACTATGTATGGATCAAATGTTGCAATGGATTTTTGATATTGTTTAATAATTTTATCTTGATGGACACGTAGTTTGTTGATGTACACGGGGTTTAAGTGTTGCAATGGTTTTAAATTGTTTGTTGCATACGTTGAACCAAATTGTTTCATCTAGCGATCTGACCGTGTTTCAGTTTTTTTTAAGAATTGAAACATTCTTTCGCTATTGCTGAAACATTGTTTTTATATTGGGTGAAACAACGTTCGATTTTTTGGAAATCGTTATTTCATGCATTGTAGCAAAATGTTTCATTAAGTGATTTGGTTGTGTTTCAAATTTTTAGAAGATTGAAACATTTTCGATCTATTTAGTAAAATATTTTCGATCTACTTGGTGAAACACCGCCCGTTTTTTGACAAAAAAAAAAGTCGGGCGCCCGATTTGTTGGCACCTCCGTAAGACATCACCCAATAATAGTTGAGGGATAACTAAGGTAAGGTTAAATCTTTGATGGTCAGAAAAGATTACATATGATTCGAGATAGGCTAGGGTAATGGCAAACTATTTTTATTCCTTGAGGATGTCTCTTTAAAAACCATCCAAATGGTTATAACAAAATCTAAAAATTTTTAACTTCACTCATACAAAGAAGATATAGATAATGAAATCTTTCCCAGACACCATAGTTGGATAACCGTCATGCTGTTTTTTGCATGCCCTGGAGAGGATGGACATTATAAAGAAGCTTGGTCGTGTTCCAAATAAGTAGCCTTGCAGAATTGTGAATTGTGGTGAGCTGCCGTTGGACGACTAAGTTTTTGGTTCGCTAGCTTATGCTTATGTTTATCCATACGGAGTAATTATTAGTAACAAAAAAATAATTTATGAGTAATTTTTTTATATACGTGCCCTTAGTGATTAAAAACAAATACTGTAAAATAAAGATGGATAAAACCCCAGAAAATTAACTTTAAAATTAAGTTTTAAAATTAAAATTCTAGCTTATGAGCATATAAGGATAAGAGAAACATGATCGAAGAAATTTCACTCGGCATTGGTGGGCATAAGTATCCTATTCAACATTTATAAATAAGTCAAGTCGGATTTCTGAAAGATAACATCATTCTAAACATGTGAAGGGAAAAAAAAACTCGATGTTAATCCATCTAAGTCACATACTCTTACATTTGGGTTGAACACTAAAAATGCATTAGTAGATCTACACCGGCCGATCGATTAAGAGGGAGTTGTTCTTCTATCTGTAGTAGCTATCTAGGAACCATTTGAACTATCCATCTCCCCCCTTTGCAAAATCACAATACGTGAATTGAACACCAGCAAGTTGGATGGCCTAGCTTGCTCCCCAGGATCACACACACACCTTCCATGGAAACAACTTTCTTTTAATTTTTCTTAGGTTTTCTTCACCCGCACTCCTGTAATCATGGAACGCACGAACACTCCTGTCTTACTCTTTCCCGGTGGGCCACACCCCCTGCCGGCCGGCCGAGGCAAAAGAAAAGAAAATAAAATAAAATACAAGAAAGAAAGAAAAACACGTGTCACCAAGCAATACGTGCCACCTGTAAATCTACACAGCTATAGCTACCTAGCTAACCACTCTGTGGAAACAACTTCTTTTTATATTTTTTTCTTCCATTTTTTTTTGGCGATTGCACACGCCGCTAATGCTTTTTTTTTTTCACACATATTCCTGGACTTCAAGTTATGTACTGTGGAAACACACACGCTTGAAGGAAGAGCTGATCGCTGATCGATGTACTTATTGCTCGACGAAGAGGACTGACACGTGACAGCCGAGCCGACGAAAGAGGGGAGAATTTTTTTTTTCGAATACACTATTTCAATCTCATGACAAAACGTTGGTTGATGGCACGTACGACGATCGATAAAAATGTATCAAGAACCCAGCCGGGAGGCCGACGCGAGCGCCACCGCCTGCGCCCACACCTTGAGCCTCGCCTTCACGTCCTTGGGGTCGTCACCTGCATGCCACCAAAACCAAATAATCAAACCACGTTTCGTGTCACGCATATATATAGAGTATCGATGCTCCATCAAACAAGAATGGAAGAATCAAAAGCTTGCTACAAAGCCAAAAAGGCGCCCAATCACATACATATATATATATATATATATATATATATATATATATATATATATATATATATATATATATATATATATATATATATATATATATATATATATATATATATAAGGAATTGCTAGAAAACTCCTGCTCAAAAACTTTTAGATTTGTGACTATCGGATTACCTCAAGATTTATATATGATGAAGAAAAGAATTGATAGAAAAATAATTTCACACATGTTACACGTAAAATTCTAATGTTAACCAACGAAACCGTAGTGCATATATATACGTAGAGTATTGATGCTCCATCAAACAGGAAGGAAGAATCAAAAGCTCGCGACAAAGCGAAAAAGGTGCCCAATCATATATGCAGCTCCTACCTGTCGCTCCAGTAAATTAGCTTACTATATACTCTCACTTTTCATGCACGTTTTCAGTACGTGCACGAATCGATCAATTCGTGGCCGAAATTTTAAGATGCCTCCCGGGAAAAAAAATTAATTAATGCAGCGCTTAATTATGATGTGACCACACAAACATATCGAGCTCTACGTGTAAGCCAGTTACAAGTGCATGCATGGAACTACGGAAGGCATGAACAGAATGATTCTGCATGCACATTGCCGGCATGTAGCGAAAAACATGGCGACCAAACACTCGTACGTCGCCGGTCCAGACGGACCCAATCGCTCCACCAGCCAAGCCAAGCAAAAGCACGTACGCACAAACAAAACGCACGTACGCCGGAGAGACAGGGGCGCACGACACGAGCGGTGGTCGCGGCCGCCGTCCGGACGCCGGAACAACTAACGACCGGAGCTTAATTTCTCTAGCTACGTGCTTTTCACCGATGCGACAAGTAAGACAGCGCCGCGCCACCGGCAGCCAGCCGCACACACGAACGCACGCGCGCGCGCACGCGTGCTCCGCCCCGGTGCACTGCCTGGCATGCCAGGCAAACCTGCGGTGTGTGTGTGGTAGGTTCGTTAACGAGAGGATATTCGCTCGAGGGTTTGAACGAGTTTTGTTTTTATTGATGGTTGCCGTGAGTAATATAGCTGGCGCAACCGGCCAAGGGTGAGGGGTTGACCCGACCGTGCGCCGGCGTACGGACAAGTTGTTGCGTGCGGTGTGCCTCTAGTTTGCAGGTTTTGCTCACTACGTGGACTGGACCTGATGCAGGATGTGAGAATGGTTTTTGTTTGTATACGTGCAGAGCTGAGCTAAGGCAAGCGTGAAAAGTAAGCAGGAAGTAGTTAGTTAATTATAATTAAGGTTCGATTTTGAGAAGTAGCTAGTGATTAACAATGAATTAGTGACAGTGATTGATTGGGGATGGATGGAATGGATGGGATGGGATGGCTTACCGGGGCTGGAGATGCGCCAGCTGCCGGACGCCGGCGAGTTGCCGCCGCTGCTGGCGGTGTCGACGCCGGAGAGCGCGTAGCAGGGGATCTCCACGGTCCAGTCGCAGGGGAGGTCGAGGCCGAGGTCCCTGCACGCGCGCATCTCCTCCATGTCCATCGCCACGCCACGCGCCGGGGACTCGCCGCCGGCGGCGGCGGCGCTCACCACCACCGTCACCGCGTCGGCGCCCAGGCCCTGGCCCTGCATCAGCATCTGCCGCCGCTGCTTCCGCATCTGCCAAGCCCGGTCCAGCCACACCTCCCGCATCATCCGCTCCCGCCGGTGGCGCATCCGCCGCTTGTCGCCGCCCGGCCACCGCGCCGCCTCCGTCTCGCTCGCGTACTCCTTCGAGTACATCCACGGCGACGGCGCCGGCGCCCCGCGGTCCGGCGTGCCCGGGAGCGACGCCGACGACGGGGCCTGCGGGTTTCTTGGGTCGTCGTCGCCGTACGGATGCCACTGGCCTCCGCCGCCGCCGCCGTCCCCATACTCACCGTTGACATCCGATCTCACCTCGTCCCCATCCTCCTCCTCCTCCTCCTCCTCGCCGCGCAGGTACCCGTCGTCCTCGTCGTCGGCGTCACCGCCGTCGGAGCCCTCGACGGACAAGCGAGACATCCGCTTGCTCATGTCCTCCCACTCCTCCTCCTCCTCTTCCTCCTCCTCGACGAAGTCATCGTCCTCGTCGTCGTGGTCGATGATGTCCCGCAGCCTCGGCAGATGACTACCGAGCTTCCTAGCCGTCGCCGCCGCCGATGGGGACGCCATTTCGATCGGAGAAATTAAGCTGGAGAAGAAGGCGACGAGCTGGAGGAGGGAAGACTTACTTGGCTAGTATACCAAATATGATAAGTAAAAATGGGTTTGGTTGCTTGTTAGGTTGGAGGGTTAAGCAAGCTAGCGAGAAGGGATATGCGGTCTATATATTCTCGGAGTGATGGAATCGATGGCTGTGATGGCCCTTGGGTTTGATCTACTTGTGTATTGGCTGGAGTGAAGGGGAAACTTAATTAGTTTGTGACGAAATTTTCAGAGGCTAACTGGTCAGGCTGCAATGTTTGTAATTAAGCTTGTGATTTGTTGGGATGGAGCAACTCCAGTTCAGGGAGTATTTATAGAACCATCAGATGATGCCGTCATCTCACTTTTTTTCAATAATGTAAAATTATTAATATTTCCAGACTATGTATTGGATTGTAATAATTCTGAAAATTCAACAAGTGTCATTCAATTGCCGTCATGTATAGTATGTCATGTTTGGTTGCCTGGATGGAGGGTAACTTGCATGGTGATTGGTGGATGTATTGAGGTGCTTGTTTTGGTCCCTCGGAGGTGCGTCAGAGCTTGTACCCGCTTGTGCAAAGTGCACTCTCGTTAGCCAGGCCAAGAGAAATGTAGGAAATGAACTACGCTCCTTAGGAAGGCCCGGCTCATATAGGCGCGAGACGAGTGGGTGTAGATATCACGTAGGGGTCGACGTTTTCTGCTACTTTATTGTTCACTTTTTTGGTCAGGTGCTCATGAATCATCGATATTGCTCAGTTTCCATCATCTCCATCGTTGCATCGTCTCTCCCTCCTCTGGCGGATTCAACCTTACACCTACTAGATCTGGAGGCCACTAGATCGAGGTCACCATGTATGCCCACCATAAGCTCCAACCGGCCACAAGGAAGAAGGGGGGCTCAAGGGATGCTAGATCTAGATGATCAAATTATCCCCATAATCGTTGTCTTGCTCCTCCTTCATTCTCCTCACATCACTGGCACTATTTCCTTCAAAAGTTGTCGCCTCCCTTCTTTCACGGGCTCCGGTGAGCTACATCCGATGGCCATGAGCTCTGGCGTACCAGATCTGACATACTCGAGCTCATGGCCATCGAATCCGGCGACCACAAACTTCAGTGATGGTTGGGAGAGAAGGTGATGGGCGATGAGCACAGCGATGTATGGGGTGAGTGATGAGTGGAACAGTGTATAGTGCAAGGTTGTTCCCTCTTCTTATGCTACTTTTTTCATTTGTTAACTTGATTAATCCAAATTTAGAATAAATTATGGTGTAATTTACTATTTGCATGGTACTATTTGTATCTAGATTCAAACTCAAAAGCATATTTTTGGGGGCAGAGGGACTAAGTATTTATTTATAGATGAACTTTATTTGGTTGAGTTGATTGAATTCAATGTTGTCAATTTTGAATATTTTGGGTTTAGACAATATTTCTAATATATTAGTGTTGGAGATAATTAATCTTACCATCTATCTATTATATTATTAAAACAGCTTTAAAAGGAGTCATCATGTTTGCTGTGGGGGCTAGAAATTCCCACATTAATCAGAGAAAAAGAAAAAAGATAAAAAGGAGAGTCCAAGTAGAAATACAATCTAAAAAAAGCTGAAATTCGGAATTAAAAATAAGCTATATTGAAAAAAGTTTCCATATAAGAACCTAATACGAGATTAATCAAAATTCGAAATAAAAATAAAATAAAATCTAAAATTAGACAAGGAAAGGAGAATCCAAGTAGAAATACAATTTAAAAATAACTTAAATTCGGAATTAAAAATAAGAAATATTGAAATAATTTTCCATATAAGAACCCAATACGAGATTAATCAAAATTCGAAATGAAAATAAAATAAAATCCAAAATTAGAAAAGAAAATGAGAGTCCAAGTAGGAATATAATTTAAAAATTGCTAAAATTCGGAATTAAAAATAAGCAATATTGAAAGAAGTTTCCATATAAGAACCCAATACGAGATTAATCAACATTCGAAATAAAAATAAAATAAAATCCAAAATTAGAAAAGGAAATGAGAGTCCAAGTAGGAATACAATTTAAAAATAGCTGAAATTCGGAATTAAAAATAAGCAGTATTGAAAGAAGTTTCCATTTAAGAACCCAATACAAGATTAATCAAAATTCGAAATGAAAATAAAATAAAATCTAAAATTAGAAAAGGAAATGAGAGTCCAAGTAGGAATACAATTTAAAAATAGCTGAAATTCGGAATTAAAAATAAGCAATATTGAAAGAAGTTTCAATATAAGAACACAATACAAGATTAATCAAAATTCAAAATAAAAATAAAATAAAATCCAAAATTAGAAATGGAAAGAAGAGTCCAAGTAGGAATACAATTTTAAAATAGCTGAAATTCGGAATTAAAAATAAGGAATATTAAAAGAAGAGTCCATATAAGAACCCAATATAAGATTAATTAAAATTCGGAATAAAAATAAAAATAATTCCAAAATTAGCAAAAGAAAATAAAAGAAGAGTTCAAGTAGGAATACAATATAAAATTAGCTGAAATTAGGAATTAAAAATAAGCAATATTGAAAGAAGAATCCATATAAGAACCCAACACGAGATTAATTAAAATTTCGAATAAAAAATAAAGTAATATCCAAAATAAGAAAAATTAAAAGAGAGTTCAAGTAGAAATACAATTTTGAAACAAATGAAATTGAAAATAGAAAATAAAAACATTAAAAGAACACAATATGGTATTAACTAATTTTTTTAAAAAAATAAATTCCGAAATTAGAAAAATAAAAATAATATTTCAATTAGGAATACAATTTATAAATAACTAAAATTTGCAGAGCCACCGACGGTTGACGGGACTTCTAGAAAATAAAAAATAAATTCCAACGATAGTTATGTTCGATTTTTAAAATCACAATGACAATAAAGAGTAGGCGGCATGCGGGCTGTACAGGGGCATAGTGGCATCGTTTGATGGGACTTCTAAAAATTATAAAAAATAAAACTACAAGTCCAATTTTTAAAGGTTCGGAACTTCTAAAAAGTAAAAAAAAAACAATGATAATCATGTTCGATTTTAAAATCTCAATGACAATAAAGAAGGGAGGCAGCGGGCGAGCCGTAGAGGAGTACAATGGCAAAGCCGCTGATGGTTTGGCGGGACATCTAGAAAGTAAAAATGAACACAAATGATAATTATGTTCGATTTTTAAAATCTCAATGACAATAAATAGAATAGACATTGGATAAGCCGTAGAGGAGTATAATGGCAACGTTTGACTGGACATCTAGAAATTATAAAAACGAAACCCAACGTGACAATAAACTCTAAAAACTATAAGATCCATTTTTTGAAGGTTCCAAGAAGAATGAATAGAAATAGTGGTAGATCGAGCAAGCAAATAAAGAAGGAGATGATCTAAGGGGTAGCAACTAGTGTGACTTTTAAAAAACTATATAATTAGAAACACGGGGATGATAAGGTTTGATCTTTCAAAGTCTTAAGACAACGAGATAGCTATTTAATAAATTTTAAGTAAAATCATACTAAAAATATATATGATTTTTTTTGTGCTAGCCGCGCAATTGCGCGGGCCACCCGGCTAGTTTAAATAAAAAGGCGAATAAATTCAAGGTTTATCCATCAAACCAAACAATATCTCTTCCATACATCAAGGCCGCGTTTGTTCCTGCTGGTCGTTTTTCACACGCACGTTTGCCAAATTATTAAATGATGTGTCTTTTGTAAAAATTTTCTACACGAAAGTTGCTTTAAAAAATCTTATTAATCCATTATTTTTTTAAAAAATTAGCTAATATTTAATTAATTATACGCTAACAAGTCGCTCCGTTTTACGTGCAATGCCCATTAGTTCCCAACTAGTAGTAACGAATGCAGTCAAGTCACATGTAACTAACGAAGTAACGTCTAGGCTCAACAAACATTGTATCTCACTAATACACATGCCCAATTTACTTAAGCGTGAAATGCATTTTTTTAATCATCAGTGTTCATGTCAATTTTTTTTTATAGATGCATTCGTGCCATGTTAATGCGATTTCAATGGCACATTACGACTTGCCGGTGCAAAATGCAATAATTGTGGGCTGCGGCTATTTATTTGGCCGAAACAGTAACAATATAATGTTGCTACGGGTCGTACATTTGAATGAAACGTTTCGATTATCTATGGCTACCTTTTCTACCATGTGTTACATACGCAAATCATTCACAGATTACCCCTCGACCAGGGTAAAGTCTGCTTGACTGCTTCAGATCAATGTGCTTAAATGATTGCCATTTGTTTCTCAACCAGCCATTTCCTTGTACAGCAGGGAAGAAAATTAACACATGTACACGTAAAACAAACTCCTCTCTGCTCACTAAACTCAATACTATACTGGAGTATCTTAGTTCAAATTTCAGAAAAGCATCGCGAGATTAATTAGTGCGAAAATTAATTGAACTGGCCTATCACGATAAGGATGTACAAGGAGCGCTTGGACTGATCGGCGAAGGCGAGCCAGCGAGCGCCAGCGCATCGCGCGTGCGAGCCCCGACCTGGGCACGCCGACGTGGCGCTCGCGGGACGCGCCAAGAGGGCGAGGCGTCCCTGTCGGAGGCCGGCAGCTAGGTCCCACAGGGACACGTGGCGGCGATCCCGCTAGGCCACAGGTCAATGGGGCCCGAGTCCGACGGGAGGAGGGGCCCACCGCTGGCTAGGGTCGGTGGGTGGCCCACGCGGTTGGCTCGGCCAGTGGCAAAAGCGTGGTTTAGCTCTGGAGAAAGCGATGGATTGCATGGGTTAAGACTTAAGATGGGGTTAGTTGGGAGGTAAGATAGGTTTGAACGTGGTCAGGGGTAATGACGTTTTGATGTTGGACGATTGCCTACGGTACATTGGACTACTGTTTATATTACGAAAATGTTTGATTTGTTTTTGTTTTAAAATTTGATGCAAATCGAGAGCTAGCCAAGCTCATCAATCTAGATATGAAAACACTATGAAAATTTTTCGACTATACTGATACCATTTCATAAAATAAAACAAAACTACAAAACAAATTTTTTCTGATGAACGATGATAGTGCCAGCGACTTAAGGAAAATGAAAATAATGAATTTCGCATATGGCCAAGCTAAGGAAGCCATCAATGAAAAGGCGATTTTCGCTAACAGCAGCTAAAGAAACTCGTGGATGAAAATAATTTTAAGAGAAACTAAGAAGGCCGGTAGTGAAAAAGTGATTTTCGCTGACGGCAACTAAAGAAACCCGTCAACGAAAATATTTTCAGGAGAAAGAAAAAATAAAAATCAGGATCCATGATCACTATCCCAAAATCCCCAATCACATGCAGTCCTTGCGCCCCGTTGTCCTTCTAGCCACCGCGATAGAGCTTGTTGTAGGCGTGTCATAGTGGGCGGGCGCACCCTAGTTGATGAAGAAGTCGATGTCGTTGATGGCTACGTCCCCGAAGAGGCAGAATGCGCCCTTTCGAGAGCCACCGAGGTGGGCGCTCCAAATGTTGCCCCTTGCCCACCGTCGCTCAGAAATGGCCATCTGCTCATTGTCAAGGTTGTCGCTACCGTCACCAAGTTACGGTTATCATCGCCGTCGTCATCACCGAGCCACAAGCGTAGCCACCGTCACAACCGAGGGCTGGCATCGCCTTCCTGTGTGTTGTCCTGTGCCTCGTCGTCGTTGTCCCGTGTGTTGTCTACTCTAGCCAACCGGATCCACTAGCGGGGAAGAAGGGGTCGTCAGATCCAGCGGTCATGGCCTTCTCGCTAGATGATGCGGCAGCGGTACACGACGACAGCCCACGCAGCTCATCTTGGCGGTGGTGGAGGGCGGGCTGAAGGGAGATAGTGAGAAAGGCGGAGGCCCGTGGAGGAAGGAGAGGAGAGGTGGAGGGCAAGGCAAGGGTTTGGTTGGCGGTGGGCGGCGGGCACAAAACCTTTTAATACTGCAGAAGTTTTTTCCCGAGCGATGCTCTTCAGCTATCACCAGCCAAACGAGCGTTTAGAGGTCCTCCTAAAAAGATAGATCTTTTTTTAGGTAATACTCCTAAGTGTCCGTCAACAAAAATCGGTTTTTCGTGCTGGTTTTTGATCCAGAATCCATCGATATATTTTTGCAAGCGTTTGTTTTATTAGTCTGTCAGTAAAAATAAATGGATGACGCCATGAAAAATGGTTTTTATTGTGAAATAAATGACATTGTTTTTGATGTTTTTTAATTTCTATCCGCGTCGTATTGAAGTTGCTACTAAATAGTAATTCGCAAATATAAAAATAAAAATTGACTGTACCTATAACGTCTTTGTAAAGGTAATAAAAATGATACCGTTTTCTACCGTTTCCATCCCTAGTCAGTTAAAGGAGTGTCGAGCTGCCTGATATATTTTTTTCCCAACAACCTCATCTTACATGAACGATGAGCATTTTTTTTATATAGCAATGATTGAGGAATCTAGACCAGTGGATCGTGACAACTACAGTCAGCGTATACGTGCAGAGATCAAATCAAATGCCCAGCAAATGAAATTTTTTGTGCATTAATCCACTGTTCTATATATATCGAACAATGTCTTAGTATATTGTAGTTGTCCAGTTGCTGTTTCAACACGATCGACGATATATAGAGATTATGATGGTGATGCACTGGGGCGACGACGTACGAAGCAAAGGAAGATCGAACGTGTGCGTATGCCGGCCGATGCGACGTACGCGTACCGACCACATATCTGAATGCATCCTCTTCACACGAGCGGCGACACATGGGTGTGTGTACAGCCACCACTGTTTCTATACTATATCCTTTGATGAAACGGCAAACACTGTTTATATAAATCTCGTATATATACAAAACAACAATAATGACACGATAAAGTCTACTGTAGACATAATCTTCCCTGTATAATTAAACAAATGTATAATCAGCTACTTCCTCCGTTTCAGAATGTAAGTCATTCTAGCATTTTTCACATTCATATTGATGTTAATGAATCTAGACATATATATTTATTTAGATTTATTAACATTAATATGAATATAGGAAATATTAGAATTACTTATATTCTGAAACAGAGAGAGTATATGTATGTATGTGACCCCATTATCTTTGGTTTATTATAAGCTAGTAGTGCTTTGCTAGGCACGCCGTACGTTGGAAAATTGTTTGGAGAGTCAGAAATACACTCATAGTGCCGGCCAAAATACATCCCACTGATAATTAATTTGCTCTGGCTAGGCTGAATCTCGCAGAAAGCGATTTTTCTGTTCGGATTTTGTGGAGGAGAATGCTGCGTGGACATAAACGATTGGGCCACCGGTGTACCGGAGAAAATTTCAGACTATCTGCTTTAGTTTATAATTATTCAGACTTTTCTTTTTGAAATTTCTTTTTAGTGACCTAACAGGCCAGGCGTGTTATGGTTATGGCCATGGTTCTTCTGAAGTAGTGATGGAAGCTAGAAATGGGCCACATACCTATTTGGTCGGCAAAAAACAAATATGCATTTCGTATCTTGTTTGGTACCTTTCCATCACAGTTTTATCATCCTCTAAGTAAATAACATCAAGATTAAAGACATCAAAATATTGCTCATGTCCCGTGGATTGCTAATGTTTTAAATATTTCATGTCATTGCACAAATAAAAATTAATCTTAATTAGTTGTATACAACACATTCAATAATGCACAGTGGTGGACCTAGGGGTGGTGCTAGATATGCACTGGCATACCTAAAATAACTTGAAAAATGTTAGTAACTAGAAAAAAAAATGCCTGTACATCGTAACGGGTGAAGGCTATTTTAATTTTATGGAAAAAGTACAACGAAGGTCCCTCAACTTGTCATCGAGTTATAAAATCGTCCTCAAACCGCAAAACCGGATACAACGCACCCCTCAACTTAGAAAACCAGTACAAAGTAGGTCCCTCGGCGGTTTTGACTCCGGTTTTGTCTGATATGACAGCTGACTCAGCATGGGTCCAACGTGTCAGCCTCTTCTTCCCCCTCTCCACCTCTCTTCCTCTCTCTTCTTTTCTCTCACTGCAGCACAGCCACCGGGTGGGGAGGAGATCGGTGGGGGAGGCGGGAGTCCGGCGGCGACGACGCTGCGGACGGCGCGCGTGGCCCTCGCCTTGGTGCATGCCACTCCCCTCGCCGCGTCCAGCCGCACCACCCAGAGCGCGGCGACGTCGACGACGGCGAAACGTGCTGCCTCCTCGCCGTCGCCGGACGACCGGAGCGAGCGGTACGAGAGGCCCTCGTAGTTGTGCCCGCCGCTGCGCGCGCGGACAGTGAGGCCGTGGTTGCGGCAGCAGACGACGTAGGCGCGCACCTCGTCGGCGGTGACCGGCGTGAGCACCAGCGCGGGGCGGGGCGTCCGCGGCGTGGCGATTTGCACTAGATTAGCACTGTATGCTGAACATAGCACAAGCCAACAAATACAGCAGGCTAGGAGCTTACCCTCAGCAACCTGAGCATCCAAACCTGATCTGTCTATGCCATTGATCTCCCAATCCTGCAACCAGACCATAACAACATCAATTCAGGAAAGTTGGAAACTCCAAGCAGCATCACTAAACATATACGTAGCTAGCTCTACCTCCTGCTCCGGCGACATGGCCGTCTCGTCATGAGCGTAGACTACGATAGCAAGCGGGCCACGCCGAGGGGGGCGCGAGGCGGGGCACCAGAGGAAGCCGCGGCTGTCGTCTCGCCACCGCGCGGAACACAGCGACGCGAGCAGCGAGAAGTGGATGAGAGGGAGGCGCGAGCGGCTTGGCTCCATGCTCGTCTTGCTCGCGGTCGCAGCCGGAGCTTTGCTCAGCTTGGCCTTGGCGGCCGTCTTGGCCTTGGACCTGGCCGCCGTCGCCTTCTTCTCCTCGGCAGCTTCCCTCACTTAACGGCGAACTCGTCCGCAGCGCTCGCCCGTCTCTGCTTCGCCGCCCGCAGCCCGGCCGCCAAGGGCGTCGTCGGCGCCAAGAGGAAGAGGACCCCGCGCCCCTCCGCCGCCGCTAAGAAGCCCGCGTCGTCGTCGGCGGCGGCGTCGGCCAAGTGGGCGAAGAAGGCGCGCGGTTCCCCCCTCGACCCGCCCGCGCCAAGAGGGCGATGAAGGCTGCCCCCTGCGAAGCTGATGCAGCCGCCCAAATCCATCTGCGCGGGCCCGCCGCCGCGCTCGCTCGCCGGTCGTCTCCGAATCGCCGCCGGACTCCCGCCTCCCCCACCGGCCTCCTCCCGGACCTCCCCACCCGCCGGCTCTTCTGCTAGCGAGAAAAGAAGAGGAGAGAGGAAGAGAGGTGGAGAGGGGTGAAGAAGAGGCTGACACATGGGACTCACGCACGCTGAGTCAGCTGCCACGTCAGACAAAACCGGAGTCAAAACCACCGAAGGACCTACTTTGCACTGGTTTTATAAGTTGAGGGATACGTTGTATCTGGTTGTGTGGTTCGAGGACGATTTTATAACTCGATGACAAGTTGAGGGACCTTCGGTGTACTTTTTCCTAATTTTATTATTGCTATACGGTTTAGTTATAGGTGATATTCACTGTGAGAATTCGTTTGGATATATATTTTTTTTAGAAAATCATGTGTTGCGGTTAGAAGTTCAATCATCTTAAGTTAGCATGCAAGTTAATTTTTAAAGAGATTTTTTATACACTACTCCTGTATTTTCAAAAGTGAACGAACTTGAAATCCGAACCCGACTCGTATATGGATGACGTACCAAAGTACTGGTAAAAATATCTTCAATCTTTATAATAGTTTTACTGTAAGAATTTACTTGGATATATATTTTTCTAGAAAACTATGAGCTGCAATTAGAAGTCCGATCATCTCAAGTTAGCATGCAAGTTTTTTTTTAAAGAGATTTCTTATATGACTCCTTCTATATTTCTAAAAGTGCGGAGCATCATCTAGTTAAGACTGTTTGTATGCAACTATGCATGTAGTGTTTGATTTGCCTCTCTTAAGAACCACTGTGAAAACATCCTGGATAAAAATCTTAGGTCCGCCACTAATGATGCACATTTATTCTTTACATAAATAAATAAAAAGATAGTTGTTAGATGATGATTATTTGAGGAAGATCTCATGATAAAAATGAGAGGAGGGAGTACCTACCTATCGCAGGGAAAAGTATATATAACATCCAATCTTACTACTTTAGAGGGTTTGCACGAAGATATTATACTTCCTCAGCTCTGTTCTCTTTGCCATTTGGAACATTATCGAATTTCGCATAAACTAGTACAGTTCCTTAATAATTGTAGAAATATTTCACCTTACATGGAAGAGAGAAAAGAGGAGAGAGGAGGCGAGGAACAAGATGAGATAAGGAGGATATTGGTGACATGTGAGTCTCAACTCAACGAGTAAACTGCGGTTAACATGCTATGTTAGTAAAAAAAGCGCTTCTTAAATCAACAAAGGAGTAAATTTACATAGATTTTTAAAGATAGGGGCGACATTATACCCGGTTTTGTGGTTGAGGAGGGTAATTCCATCACGAGTAAGAATGAGGAACGAGTAATAGACTTATTCGAACCAACCTGCTGATAAGAAACAGAAGAAGAAACCAAACGGCCCGGTCCGTCAGGGAGCAAACCAGCGAGCGCCTGCAAGAAACCGGCCCGACAGTATATGATGGGCCGAAATCTCGTGACAGCCCGGGGCCCATGTAGTGTGTCGCCGGCTTGCGTCCGCCGCCGCCGCCTGACCGAAAGCGACGCAGCCATGGCCGGAGCTGCTGCCGATCGCCGCCGCGCTCCCCTCCCCTTTCCCCACATTCCGGCGGCCGGCGCGGCCGGCGGGCCCACTTCTCGCTCTCGGTGAGTGCTCTCCTCCTCCTCCTCCTCCCGTTCCCCACTGCTTCCCGGTCCCCTTCTCGGTGAGTGTTCTGTTGTTCGAGCGGCGACTGTTGGCGTGACCCCGCCGAGGGCCGAGGCGATGGCGGCTTCTCGTCTGCTCGGTTGGTGGATTCCATAGTGCCCGTTCGTGTGAGCCATTTAGCTAGGTATCTCTTCTTCAGTTCTCAATTTTCCCGCTTGGGCGAGGTTTTCGCTCTGAGCTTAGCTTGGGTTTATGCTCGTATTCAGTTCTACTGCCGGAATATTGATGGAGAAAATATTGATATTGCTAGCATGTTCAGGGTATTAGGACAGACAACTAGGCAGAAACTGTCATATATTAGTTTTGTCCTTTTTCTCCAATTCTTTCTGTGTAATATTGATACATTATGATCTGCTCCAGCAAGCTAATCCTCTAAAATCACTGCAATAATTTTTCACCCTTTTTCGTATCGTAGCTTAGAAATTAGAATCTAAGCTGAAAACATCATAGATGTTCTGAAGAACTACACTGATTTTTTTTTCTCTTGCTATGGTTGAATGATTGATTTTTTGTTTCTTCACCTGTATCTCTTTCACAGTGTGTTACACTTACACAGCCAAGCCAACAGCCACTCCAAGTGTTATTGCTACTACCCCGCTTTAGGTTGATTATTGTTGGTCGTGCTGCTACGTTATTCCAATGTTGGCAAATTTACTGTAGAATGCGATGTTCAGCTGCCGAAGAATTGTCCTTCTGCTTCAACCCGCTTGTAGATGTGATTTTTATCGAATCTTGATGCCTAACCGTGCGCAGTACATCAATCTAAAAAAATAAACAAAAATACCTCATGGATCGAAGAACTAACCCTGTATGTAATGAGAAATTGATTCTTACCTTATTAACATCTGAATTATATTCTGGAAAGTTTTCAAAAATCCCTGAGCCATGTTAACATCCATATTAAGCAACATTGACCTCTATCAATTCATGGAACTATTTGCAGCCACTATACACAGGCGAGCTTCTGTTTGAAGTGACATCTGTTGAATAGTGTGAACTTCAGATTTTAAGTTTTAGCATACAAGTAACATGAATCTGTGCCCTCATGCTTTCGTAATGCCATCATCATGCTCATGTCAAGAAAGATAGGATTTAAATAACTACTCAGACATAACCAAGTATGCAGGAACTCATCTTTTCTCTTCTGTTTAGCAACAAACCATGTTTGGAAAATCGATCTTTCTATTTTTTTGAAGAAACACCAAGGGAGCTAATATTGTTCATTAATAACAGAGGGTTTCAAAACACTCAAGGAAAACTGTTTTTCTGAAGAGCAAATTAGAAAGTAAAAAACTGTTCCCTCAAATTTGGTATTAGATCTGCTTGCAAATGAATTGTGTTATTAATTTCCCCTTTCCATAGGAGTTATTTTTATTTGAGTTTGCAATGACCTATTTATAACACTGATTATGCAAAATCATCCCTTTGAAGCCTAGTTGCTACTTCACTGTGACCTGATTAATAATCTGCTATATCGTTTGTCCCCTTCATTCATCTTTCCTCCACTAATTATGATGTTAGGTGATCATTATTTATATTATCTTTAACACTAGGGTATTTTAAAAATCTGAATGGGCTCTAAGAAGGTCCTGTTTACGATTGTTATCTTTGTGCACATCTACTTATTTCACATCTACTTATTTCATTTTCATGCATTTCTGCATGTGTCTAACTGACATATTTCTATAACGTACAGTTGCAGATACACCTAATATTACAGTACCTCCAAGCAGCCACATCATATGGTCATCTTTACCAGTTCTTGTTTGACATTCCTTCTTTAAACATGCAGGTACATCCAAAACTGGCAATTGAAGTGAACATTCCCACATAAGTACAAATGTCCATGGCACATAGACAAATTGTTAGCCTGTAAATTGTCTTTACCAGCTAGAAATTGATGTGTAGATTATGGAACCTTCTTTTTTCTAATTGCTTTTCAGGACTGGTCTTGCACAGTAATATTTGTCCCATTGCATTTATCAATCTAGTGTCTGGTTACTTTATGTCAACATATTTGTATAGGTGACCGATTCCCATTTGTTATTGCCACGTGGAAGAAAGTCTCTATCAAAAGCTGTTTTTGTGGGAACCCATGGATGTCAAGTTGCTAATGACAGTTGTACTATGTTGAAATAATCTGATTTTTTTTTTTTTTTTTTTTGCAATCAAGGGGAACCTACTGGTTACTACTAGGTAGACTAAACCAGCTTAATGCATTTGTAAAGGCTAAAGGGTTGTCCCTTAAGGGTAAGCCTTCACATTATTTAGAAACAACACTAGGGAAGATTTTCTCCATGCATTCTCTCTACCACTCTCTATAACATTGTTATACCTTTTAACTTCCATCATACCCATCAATCACACTGTTATCTTGTATCCATGGATCTATATGATGTATACATCCTGATTCCTGAGGGATGACTTGGCCTCCAACAGTTGTTTTTGCTTTCTTGTTCTTCTTGGTTCACAAGTTTAGGTTGTATCTTTCATGTGGATTGCTGATTCCAGAATCTTCATCTCTCCATATCATCATATGTCCTCATTGGTATGTGAAGAGATATCTTCACCTTGTTGGAGATGGCATTAGACAATGATCTATGCTAGCTTGGCCCATGGTAGGCCTTCCATTCTGTCAGTCAAATCATCATCATTAGTTCGTATCTTTTATTTTGAATGGGCTGTTATCTTCTCTTTTTTTCTTGATTAGCTAATCTTAAGAGGCCCATGTCTGCCATATTTAAAAGTATCAAGTGAAATCGTTATGCTTGTTGCTTGATTGCAATGTCTAGCTCAGTAATTGAGCTGTAAAATAGGCTTTAGACTCACTGCCGTCTACCTTGTAGGTAAGACACGTAATTTGTTTCCTCATTTCTTTAATCCATGTTTCTTTACTTTCCTTCAGGATCTTTCCTGTTTGGCCCATACCAAATCGAGCAGTCCTTTTCCATGCCTGTATTCAAGTGGGACGTGATCAGCTAGCTCCAGATTCTCCTTAGCAAAAGGTGAAGAAAGAAAAGAAAAGGTGAAGGAAAAGAAAAGTACCACTAAGTCAATATGCCAAAGGTCTTCCCTCATCAATACATAAGCTATTTCGTCTGGAACTTGTGGAAAGAAAGAAGGGGAGAATAAAAGTGCAACATGGAACAGATTTGCATCGCTGTGCATGGTTACAGTTGAAATTTTTGGTACCATTTATATGGTTTCTAAGTACTGCCGACACATGTGGTTTTCCCATGCCTCTTTGTATTTATTGATAAGAAAGGAGCATGCGGAAACTCAAGAATACAAAAAAGTCGATCTACTTGCTTGTATAAATGAAGACAATAATTTTTTCAAAGGAAACAAGGTAAACTCCGGAACATTTCTATACATTTTTCTGCAACTTAAACCCAACTCGTCTCTTTTTTCCCACTGCACTACATTTTCTTTCAACTGAAGAATTGCTCTTTGATGTTCATTCATGTCTTACCAAAAGAATGCATCTATGTGAACACTCACAATAATTTATCCACAAACAACTGAGTACACTGTAAACGTATCTCTGAAGAAACATTGTGCTTCCTAAGCTTTCAACTCTCAATTTTCATGTGGTGCTCTGTTCCCTGCATGCTGGAACATGGTTCCTAGATATTCTCAAAAGACAAGGACATCCTTTGCAAATCCTTGTCATACATATCTGATACTACTGGAAGATGTTGCTGTGGCAGCAGGTTTTGAGACCAAGCTGCACAGAGCCCCTCCATGTTGAATTGGCTCTCTGCTTTGACAACGTCTTCATACAGTGACTGGCTAAGGTTCTGCATGGGCGCTGGCATCTCTGAGAACGTTCCATGGAGCAAGTCAGGCCACTTGAGTTCTTCCTCTAGTTGTGCTTGGCTATCCTTTTCTGGTGCTAAATCTGACCATGGGAATATGTTGGTCTCCAAAAGGGAGCTTGTGCTTTGCAGCTCGAATCCCAACCCGTTGTTACCACTACTCCCTGTACTGCTACTGCTGCTAGGATTGTTGGTGTCCCAATAGAATTGGGAATTGTGGATGCCAGTGCCTCGAGAGTTTGCATTGTCTGGTGATGGATTAAGGCCTGTTGATGTCGAGAGAGTTGATGGTGAAACTGGGGGCATCACAGTGGAAATTGTGCTGCTACTGGACTCATTCTGGTTATACCAGAGTGAATTCCTGTTTCCAACGTCCATGCTGTTAAAATCATTATTGTAGCACAACAGCTGCTGGAACGGGAAATTGGGAATTGGGCCAGATGAACGGCAGCTAGGGAGGTTCTCATGGCCAGAAGTAAGCTGGTCTAGAAATAGTTCCTTCGGTGGCACCTTCAGACGTGCCAAGCCCGGAGCTTGTGTGCGAGGTTTAGTTACCTTCACTGGCAGCAGCTCTGATGATTGCGCCGTCTCGCTCAGAAGATGGCTCAAGTTGTGAAGAGCAACGCCACTAGATGGGTCAACATCGCTGGATTCAGAGGTCCTGTCATTGCTGATGGTGGGAGTTGCTTTGCTTCGATCAACCTCGGCAAGGGGCTTGTGGGTGTTTGGGTCAATGCCTTTCTGCCGCAGCTTCTTCTTGATGCATGAATTCCAGAGATTCTTGATCTCATTGTCAGTTCTTCCAGGCAGCCGTGTTGCAATTTGAGACCACCTGCTCATTGATGTGAAAAAAAAGGCCATAATTAGAGGAGGCTCGATTTGATGAGGTAATTAAATCCTAAACTCTAGCAGTGCAATTGAGTTCAAATTTACCTGTTTCCCAGAACAGCATGGAGCTCAACGATGAGGTCCTCTTCCTCCTGAGAGAATGCACCTCTCTTTAGGTCAGGCCTCAAGTAGTTTATCCATCTCAGCCTGCAGCTTTTGCCACATCTCTGAAGCCCTGCAACAATTCGTTTGATTGCTAAGATTTCAGGGGAGACTTGAATTGACTGAGAAGAAAGAACACAAAGTGGATAATCGACAAGAATAAAGTGCAGAATATTTTGATGCTCACCTGCAAGTTTTGGAACGGTGCTCCAGCAGCCATGGCCATGCTTGGTTATGTGGTTCATGAGCTTCTCATCCTCCTCAGGTGACCAGAGCCCCTTCCTCAGCTTCTGCTTGTAGCAGCAGGAATGTCTCCCCATTGAATCAATGCAGAAACTGAAGCTATGCAATCTGCACAGCTTGCCCTCCCAAGAAACTTCCACAGCACACAACACCTACACAGGTAATCCTCTTGGTGATTCAGTGCTCAAGAGTGGGATTGCTGCGAGTGTACAGTCTATAGTGGCTCATATATTGGTGCTTGATAGGATGGAAGCTTATGGCAGAGTGGCAGCAACAAGTGGCTCAAGATATCAGGATTTTGGAGGAAGGCATAGGTAGGTTAGAGGGCACTCTTCTCCTTTTCTTTGCAGGCCTCCCTCCCCATTTGCCCCTTCTTTTAAAGCTGGTGGTTGTGGGAGCTTTCTTCCCTTTGTTCTCTTAAGCGTGTGCGTGCGTGGGCTCCTGTCTTATCATCCCCCTAAGAATCTTTGTCCGTTACAAAACGTCGGTGGGGTTGTACCTCCACTTGTCTCTTTACATTCTAACTAGCATGATGGCCCGCGCAGATTGCGCGGCTAGCATCATTATATTTTCTCTCATATAATAGCATATATGTTTTCTCATTATATTATTCAAATATATTAAAATAACAACATAATTTTAAATTTTGCAATAACTTTACAAAACTACTAATGTGTAATATTCATATTGCATTTTATATACGTGTTAGTTATTAATTATTTTTAAGATAAAATTTTAGTTATTTGTAAATTATATATATTCCTATATGGACTCTAGACTCGTTTTTTAATATTTCTTTTTTCTGTAAATTGTATTTCTATATAGACTATATGTTCTTCTTCTAATATTATTTATTTTTATTTCTGAAATTTTATTATTTCTAATTATATTTCTATGTGGACTCTAAACTCATCTTTCAATATTATTTAATTTTTAATTTCGAATTCCTATATTAGCATTAAACTCTTCTTCCCATTTTTTCTTAATTTCGAATTTTAACTATTTGTAAATTGTATTTTTATACGGACTCTAAACTCTACTTTTAATTTTATTATGTTTATTCCAAATTTTAGTTAGTTTTAAGTTTCTATATAGACTCTATACTCTACTTCTAATATTCCTTATTTTTAATTCCGAATTTCAGTTATTTCCTAATTGTATTTCTACATGGACTCTATACTCTACTTCTAATATTCCTTATTTTTAATTCCGAATTTCAGTTATTTCCTAATTGTATTTCTATATGGACTCCGGTCTCCTCTTCTAATATTCCTTATTTTTTAATTCCGAATTTCAGCTATTTCCTAATTGTATTTCTATATGGACTCCGGTCTCCTCTTCTAATATTCCTTATTTTTTAATTCCGAATTTAAGCTATTTCTAAATTGTATTTCTATATGGACTCTGCTTTTTCTTTTTCTCCGATTAATGTGAGAATTTTTAGGCCATGAGAGCGAACGTGGAGGCTCCTTTTTCTATTCCTTTAATTATATAATAGATTACTGTGACTTAATTACCGCAGCCTTTTTGTTAGAGGGAACTCTTGATAGCTCACCCTTCCTCTACATATCAGGTATGTTACTTTTTGCACAAGCCAGTTAAAAGTAAAGGATGTTTTGTCAAAGTTACATAATTTGGAAAAGGATTAATGTTGTTTCTCGTGTGATTATTGAATGCGACCTGCAGCAGCTAGTCCATCGCTGCTACTATGAGCTTTTTTTTCCCTCAGCAACCTCTGCGTCATGAGTATTCCATGCAGGGAAAGCGCACTGTTGGTGAAGTTCTCTCTTTTTTTTTGTGATTCTCATTAAAACCCAGTTTGCTTGCATCTATCCTTAGATTTATAGTATATCTGCATGTTTATAAGCTTCTGTACCTCTTATCTTCAAATGCTGTGCCAGGCTAAAGTACATACCATGTTTCACCTTTATTTTTCAGGAAAGTCAGTGGATCACTTCTTACCTGGAGAAAGCTTTGCATCAATCATCGAGGGGCGGCAACTAATGTTTGTATCCCAGGACAGAAAGAATCTTCCCTTTTCTTTATCTCAAGCAGCCAGCTATGTTGTTTTTCTTTAGGACCTCTGAGTTCCAATCACAAATCTGTGCTCCAATCCAAGAAGATCATCTCTGGCACCTCTCAAGATGCTAAGCAATCAGCTGTGAGAACCAGGCCTATGCTGATGATTGCTTTTGCAGAGTTACAAACAGCATGATTTCCTCACTGGCCGTATTCTCGCTCAGAAGCAAATCCCAATAACACCAGGGCACATGTTTAGTAGCATTGGTCTGATTATTATGGAGAGAAGTGTGCTTGTTGTTAAAATTTTTTATGGTTATAATGCCGAAAACTCCAGATGATGCTTGGTTTGCAAACAGAACAGTGGAGGTATAATAATCTCGATGAGGTGGCTAACCCAGGCAATTTTATTTCTTATCCTTGCTTGGATGCCTGAAAGAAAAAGGTTTGATTCTTGACTTGATGATTGGAAGATACAATGGCACCTCTTGGTGCCCATGTGATTGTGGATACCCTTCTGATTAAACAGGCGCAGAAACTATTATATGGAATTGTACATTTTATAATCCGGACGATCTGTACAATTCGGCCTTTTCATGATGCTCCGAAGCTTCCCTTGTTCTTTTCTGGAGATTTTCTGCACCTTTAGACTGACCTGATGATAATAAAATTATAGTATTTGTTTATGTGTGTACATGAAGATTACAGTAGGTTGTGTGTTGTCGGGGTCACCTTGCAATTATGATAAACAGTTGTGCATGCAATTGCTAATTGTTTTTGACAATGTATTCTCTTAATAAGTGGAGGTTTTTAGTCATTCATGGACTTAGCTATCACTCATTATCACCACAATTTCTTTCAGAGCTTCCTTCTCTTGCTCTAGATGCATGTATATGCAAAAGAACAGTTGAATCAAGAGAATATCTCCATGGAGAAGAAAGGACATTCCTTTTTTCTTTTTCTTTTTTTTTTGCTCTCTCTTGGTGCTAATTTGTTTGATTTTTCATTTGCTTCTTGGATCCCATTAATCGGAGGCCCCAATAATTAAAGGCATCCTCATTAGAGAAGCGGACCTGATGAGAAAAGAAGGGCCATTTGCAAGGCTCCTATTGGAAGGGGGTCACGGGAAAAAGCAGGTTTGACAAACAGGGCATCTTCTGTGGGTCCCACTCATGGGCCCAACCTCCCCTGTTGTACTGTCAATGATTAATCTCAGTGCTTAACTTTGCTCAGCTAGCATTCGGTCGCTTGTGTTCCAAGTTTTACACTCTTTTCTTTTCTTTCTTTGAGAGAATCAAAGTTGTTAGTTGTACTGTACACTCTGGGAAACCCAAATTGCAATTTTGATTCATAAGTTCAGCCACATTTGTTTGAATCAGAAGAATTTTAGAGAAATTTTATCAGAATTGATTGAGCTTTTCTACAAAAAAAAGTCTTATAAAATTCCTGCATCCCAAAATGTTACTCCTCCTAGTTAAAAATATTTGGCGTCGGGAGAAATCAACTAGACCTGAAAGGAGTTTTCTGAAATGAAAATATTTTTGTTAGCTCATGCTGTTCCGTTTTAATAACCTAAAATTTTCATTTCAAGCAAAAAATTAAACTAACTAAAAACTACCTCCTTTGCCACAACCGGTCACAGCTTGATCTGAATGCAACGGCTGACGTACGATAACGAAAATTTTAAGAGGCATTTAAGAGCTATATTATTGTAGCACTTAGCATGTAATAACAAGATGGTCCCTGATCGAGCTAGCTACATGCAGTACTCTAGAAATATATGTGGGAGCACAGATTGAAAGCAACAGTGCGTGTGCACACGCTATATATGCATATGGCTGGACCAAATTAAGCCAACAACAAAACGGAACGGCCGGTTCCGTCTTGGCGTCATGTTCTTGGGACTATATACTATGGCCGGATATATTGGCATATGCAACGGGACGCCGTTGGTAGGGCACACATATATGCTTTCAGAAAACTTCCATGGTACTTTTATGAGATGTATGCAGAAATTATGGTAGGATATATCTTGTGCTCGCCGTAGAAATGAGAATTAATATGACAGGGAAGGCTGGCGACTAAAGAAAGAAAGTGTACCACATCTCATAACCACGGTAACCATTATAGTATATGAAACATTATTCAATGAAATTGGCGGTGCGTCGATTCGTTAAAAAAATTGTAGTATATGAAACATTTGCTATAAAAAAGGTGGTGAAACTTAGCTGACAAAGTCGATATTGTTCTCTATTTTCTTATGAACCCATATCATTTTAATTATTTTTAGTTAGAAAAATTTTAAATACCCCCAAAATTTTGATTGAAAGTCCATCTAACAGCCTGAAACTTTAAAACCGGATATTCAACCCCTTGAACTATACATACTACTAGGAAAACTATTTTTGCAGGCATTTAAAATTGGTCTTCTCAAGCAGACGGCCGGTCCTCCTGTAGGTAAATGCCTGCTAAAATCACCCATTTTCGTGAGCGGACGGCCAGTCCGCCTAGGAAGATCCATCTCCGCAGGCGGACCTCTTAAATAGTCCGCCTGCAAAATGAATCTTTCTATGTGGACATAGCCACAATATGCCGTTTACGATAATGTGTAGCTTGGCGTTCATTACGGCCGCCTAGGAAAATATTCACTCCAAAATTAAATATTTCCGTAAATTTTTTAAATACTAATTTTTAATCAGTAATATTGCAATTAGTTAATTAATTAGTACATAAATACATCTAGCAGCTAACAAACATATAATGAGGATATAATACACATATATTGGATGCATTAATTAGTGCAAAAGTGTTATTTACAATACTGTCATTCCCTTAATTACACAAGCATGTGGCTCCACTCCTAAAGGGACTTGTATTCGTCGCTCATCGCTAAGCTGCCTTCGGGGTCGAAGAAAAGTCCATCTTTATGACAACACTCGTGGTGGATAAAGTGGCAGAGGTCACGTTGTATGTTTATAATGGCTTCGTCGTCAAAACTAGTTCGATGTTCGATTCTAAGCAATTGCATGCATGAAAGCATGAGTATATTAGATGTGCATTCCATCTTCGCAGGACTTATATGTTGAGTTGAGACGTACATTCTCTACGTTGGTCATGTATCTCCCATTAACCCTAAGGAACTCGCATGTGTAATATCCGCAAAGGACACTGCCTTTAGGTTACTGGTGATACTTCATGACATACACATAGAAGGAATTAGTTATATATTGCAGGTATTGTTTTAAATAAATATGTGTGCAGAGTATTACCGTCCAGTATATATGCACTAGCAACTTCTCCCTCGTTTGTAGCTATTCCCCACCTTATGTCATTGCCTGGGAAGATTGATCTTCGCAGGCGGATGGCCACCTCGACCCCCGTCCCCTATTTTGCAGGCGGACAGATGGTGAAAACAATATTTACCCGCCTAGAAAGATCGATGCACCTTGTCTACAAAAATTGTTTTCCCAATAGTGACAGTACCATTTATGTAACACCATAAGCTAATTTTGCAGAATGGTCTGATTTGCATATATGTTGGATGAGTTTGGTTACATGATATATGAATTGGACATATATGTTAAAATCTTCAAATCTTTTATTTTTACCCCTATTTTTTGCTCACTTATAAACATATGTTAATATAATACTAATATGACATCATCATAGAATATAAATTAATAATCGATGATTGACGACATGTAAACATGCTATATCAGTTATTTAAACCCGCTCATTAATTAAGCTCCCAAATATTAAAAAAAACCACCTTACAGGATATTTTGAACAGTATTATAAAATTTATGGGGTTGGATATCCGATTTTAAAGTTGAGAGTATGACGGACTTATATCAAGAGTTTAAAATAGGGGATGGGGGGGGATATAGACTTTTTTCCATTTTAGTTTTTGTAAGTTTTGTTCCAATATAGGTGCAGATTGTATACACAGTTAATTGTAAAACCTATTTGTTTGTCTAAAGCTAGAAAAATCTAGTCTCGTTTAGAACATAGGAAATTTTTCTTGTTTTCATGGAAATTAAGTTTTTTCCTGTGAAATTCTTGCATTTCAAATGGAGCCCGAACTGTACCTCAGCTATAATGTAGTATTTCACCGTATAAATTCTTCGCAGTCAGCCAGTAACATACAGGTTTCCATATAGTTAATTATAATAGTGAAGTTAACACACCCATGCTTAATTAGTGAGGTAGGAAGCTAAGAAACCTAGCAGGGGGCCATGATGTGCATGCCAAGTTGCCAACTAACACGATATGATGTGCACTTATGGTGAATTATGTGTGTGTTTGTGTGTATCAACATCTTGCTATCACTCTAGAATTAAACTGCAAATAATTAAAGGAAAATATGCAGCTATTTTTTACGAGTTTAATTATTTACGTGGTGCAACGAGGAAGAAAAAGATCAAGGAGAAGAAAAAAGAGATGAAACGTGTTAATTAATTAGTTTGTCCATGACCTATATATAAGTCATAGTGGGTCGTTGTCACCTTTTTGTTCTCTTTTCATTGCTAGCTGGCCATATGTACGTATGCATGCCCACACACGTATACACATTTTCTCATGAGCGACGGTTTTGTTGGTAGTTGCTACACCCTGTCCTCGCCATATACTCCATCCGTATTTTAACGTATAACACCGTTGACTTTTTAACCAACGTTTGACCATTCATTTTATTTAAACTTTTTTTGCAAATATGAAAATATTTATATCATGCTTAAAGAATATTTGATGATGAATCAAGTAACAATAAAATAAATGATAATTACATAAACTTTTTGGATAAGACGAATAGTCAAACGTTGAATAAAAAATCAACGGCGTCATACATTAAAATATGGGGAAAGTATGTATTAGAGCTTGGTTGAGAGCTGAGAACAATTTGTTTAGCGGGCCATCGTACCCAACCTTTTTTTTGGTAGAATCCCTTTTGCGTGAAATTGTCTAACATCTTGTGAGGATTTAATAGCTGGCAACAGGATATCAAATTCAAAAAAATGTCTCACCACCTATATCCCTAAGTACTCTTTCCGATCATAATTAAATATTTAATATTTAAGACAATATTTCGTCATAAACTTTAATCTAGCTATAATATCAATAAGTTTATGATATTATATAGGATGTATTTTTCAAGATAAATCTTCCTATACCATTTTCTGTAAACTAAGCATATGAGAATATATTAATAACTAATGTTTCAAAAGTGTAATCAAATCTTATCCTTAACACTCAAAATATTGTTATGACCGGAGGAGTATGTAGTTATAGAGAGAGAGCACGCTCCAACCTAATCTACTATGCTTGAAAAACTAAATAAAGAAATCCAGTGATAAGGAGAGTTTGGTAGCCAGACTAATTAAAATGTAAATTTCCAAAATGAAACTTCAACTTTAAAGTTAGAATATATGTATTCAACATGTAAACAAAAAATTGAATTGTTTCACATACGAAGTACCTAGAGGCGGAGCCATGTAATAGTTGTGGAGTCACCTGGTCCCATAAATTTTATGAAAAAAGAAAGACCTTAATAGTATTGACATTTACACTGTAAAATGTAAAACTTAAAGTCTTCAAGTTTTAAAATGTCATCCTTTGAAAAGGTTCCAGCGTAATTAAAATATAGAGAATAATCCTTATGCACTACTATTATTTTCTCAGTCCTCTCTTT